TTAATTATTAATACAGCACGCTACTAAATGAGCTATCACGAATAAACGAAAAAAATGCACTACAGACAATTAAACTAATAATGGTAAATCACAATAAAGGTAAGAAGAACGTTTTACGCCACTTTCAATGTAGCTTAGAAATATTTTGAACAATATTCCCGTAGACTATCTGACTTCGCTTTATTCAATTTTGTTAAAATGCATGCTATTTTTTAATTTTTTTTATTTTGATTATATCCTAACGAAATCCAATGTTGATAATAATTTCTACAAAATGTCCAGCATGAAGGTCTATAATTATGCTTTCAATAGCCTTATTGTTGTTTCAGACTTTTGTTTTATGGAACTTTGCTTTTTACCTTGCGAGGCAACAGTTTATATATTTGTGGTTTTCTAATATGGCTATATAAAACCTATTCCAATTGGTGGACAAGTTAATCGTTAAACATATCTATATATTTACTGATCCTCCGGGCAAACATATATTTCAATTAGCTTAAGAAAGAGAGATGAGGATAAAAACACTTTTCCAGTATTTCCTTCTTCATTAACGTCAAATATGGTGGTTTAAAGGATCAATTTAAAGCGTATTCTCATTTGTTTGAAACGATTAAGCAAGATGTGAATATATATATAACATTAGTACGATCTTCATGTTTTAGTCTATATTTCAAACTATTTTCAGGCATTCGGACAACTTTTCATCAATGACGATTCATTTTTAGGCGTCATATCTGGATTTACGGGGCTGATGAATGCCATTGGAAAGTTTTTGTGGGGGTTTTTGTTTGACAAACTTGGATTCAAGGTAAATATAGAAGTTTTACGTAAATGTCTTATAAATGGTATTAAGTTATGTCATTTTTTTTTCAGGGCCTATGTAGAGTGTATAGGAACACGAAAGACACAAAAAAAAGACAGTTGAAGAGCTGAAAGGTGTATAAAGTCGAAACTAATTCGACGTTAAAGTATGATCAAGAGGTTTAAATGTTTTAAATCAGGCTGAACCATAAAACGTTCGCTAATTTTCCTGAATTTTACGATGTAATACATTAGGCTGATTCGTACAGGGTTTGTGTAAATTGATGTTATTTTGAGTTTCACAAACTTGTTACCAATGAAATATATTAAATTACCTTCATCTATCCAATAAAAGAACAAAAGTACAAACTAACGCTGTTTTCGTCGGTTTAAGAAACTACTTTTCCTACAACGTCAGCAACAAAAATGTTATTGCTATTTGATAATATACATAGCAACTCAACCACTACTGATGAACCCTAATAAAAATTATATAAAAAACCTCTTCGGCACTGAATGTAGCAGATATAGTGTAACTAACATATTGTAAAACATCTTCGTTCTTCTTTACTTTCACTCAGAAGTTCTTCGGATTCTAAGAGTATTCTTAGCCATATCTAACAATAACTTTTAACTTCTCAGACTATATCGTAATACGGAAGCAAAGGGTGGTCTAGTTGTTAGCATGCTCGAACTGTGAATCTGAGGGTTCTTGATTCGTGACACTTTCCGTGAAAACCCACTCTGCATTTAAGGGCTGTGGATGCACTGTAAGAGTGACTGTTAAATCCAGGTATTTGATCAGATAAGAGTAGTCCAGGGGTTAGCGGTGGGTGTTGTTAACTATCTGCAATCCCTTTATTCTACCAAGTCAAAATTAGGGGCGGTTGAACAGAAATAGCCCTTGTGAAGTTTTGCACAAAATTCTTAAAAATTAAAACAATGTGTAATAAGGTTTTCTCGTAAAACTCTGTCTTACAAGTATCTTTACTACAAGTTAATAAGTGAAGGCTTGGTCACTTATGAATGATGAATGAATCATCAAAATATTTCTCAACATTATTGTTGTTAATTAGCACTGCTTTGAGACTAAAACATTAAGTCAGCTTTATCGTTATGAACCTTGTAGGTTGATGTCTCATACACAACTGTTTTATTTGGCAGTTTATTTGATACTTTCAACCTGATGAGCCCTGACACTGTCGAAAGGCCCCATTAGCAACGGTCTACAACAAACATAGAATTGTTGGAATGGTATTAATACACTTTTTGTAATAGAAACGTGTACTGAGCTAGATGAGGATGAAGAATGCCAATCTTTTCTTTGGTTTGTTTGTTTGTAATTAAGCACAAAGCTACACAATGGGCTATCTGTGCTCTGTCCCCCACGGGTATCGAAACCTGAATTCTAGCGTTGTAAGTCCGCAGACATACCGTTGTGCCACTGGGAGGGGGGGGCTTTTGTTTGGTTGATTTTTAGAGCAAAGCCACATCGGACTATTTAAAATTAACCTGTTAATTATATTCGAAATAGCGGATACAATATCTATTCCACTTGTTTGTTTTGAGAACAAAGCCACATTGGGTTATCTGCTGTGTTCATCGCGAAGAATCGAACCACGTATTTTAACGTTATACGTCCGTAGAACTACCGCTGTTCCATCGGGAAATGAATGACAGTCTAATAGCAAATATAGTTATCTCTCATTGCGTATTGCATTAACTCTTATATTGAGATTGATTCATGCAGTTTTAACAACTCACCACATTAAAAAAAAAGCAGATGTTTTTTCCAAACATACTTAACATAATTAAGAAGGATATCTGTATAGAAAAGCAACACAGTTTGCTTCCATGACATATCCGTTAAACCGTCACATACCTCAAGAAGTTGGAGAATGAAACGGGTATTCATGCTATTCCACGTGTAGACATTCTATTCATGTCGCCGAATTCAGTGGCTTTGAATTTCTGAGATTATACTGTTGAAATGTGCGTTTGAAAACAGGTGTTTTTTCCAAACGTTTAGAATATTATCATTCTTACTATGGACAAATAGGTGTTCGAAGTGTTTAGAAATCCAAGAAAAATTGAAGTATGTACAAGCGATTTTCCCCCCTAACAGATCGTAATATGCATCCTCATCTTTTCATCGACTATTATTCTGGGAAGCTTTCCTGCTACTCAGTACGGAGGAAAACCGATGTGGGCCACATGGGTTCTCTTACAATATTTCCTTTCATCCGGACTCTGGCCTACGTTCCCTGCTGTGACGTCACAGGCCTTTGGGACCAAACACAGTGGCGCCATTTATGGACTTATTTGTGGAATACCGGTAAGTAATAATCGTAGAGTAAAATTAAAGAACATGTTCAACTTCACTAATATTTACAGTCACGGGGTCAGACACCCTACCTTGATATCCTCGGTGTCAGAAACCTTACCTTGATATCCTCTTGTTTTTTTTTATATTAACAATTTATTTTAAAGTATAAAAATATGTAACTTGACAATGTCCTTTATATCCGAGGGCTATCTGCGCTAGCCGTCTCTAATTTAGCAGTGTAAGATTATAGGGAAGGCAGCTAGTCATCACCACCCACCGCCAACTCTTTGGCTACTCTTTTACCAACGAATAGTGGGATTAACCGTCACATTATAACGCCCCCACGACTGAAAGGGGGCGAGCATGTTTGGTGGGACGGAGATTCGAACCCGCGACCCTCAGCTTGCGAGTCGAGTGCCCTAACCATCTGGCCATGCCGGGCCCCCTTTTGGACGCAAAATATTCATAAGCTCAAATCGTAAGGATATGTTTAGAGTTTCCAAGACGGTGATATCCCTTGTACTTAATGGCATTGGAAAACAAAGGTACTAGGACCACTTAGGAAAAGACTTTTAACAAGTCGTATCCCAAGCATGGTAAACAAAGCGCGGCGTTTTATAACAGGTGAAAATTCCTAAACACAAATATGTGTAGCAAAAGTCGTCCATTTGCCTCAGGCAGCAGAACATGACATAATTAAGAAGGATATCTGTATAGAAAAGCAACACAATTTGCTTCCATGACATATCCGTTCAACTGTCACATACCTCAAGAAGTTGGAGAATGAAACGGGTATTCATGCTATTCCACGTGTAGATATTCTATTCAAGTTGCCGAATTCAGTGGCTTTGAATTTCTGAGATTAGACTGTTGAAATGTGCGTTTGAAAAACCGTCATCTTTATAAACTCGGGGGATTATGGAAATCCCGCATGGAGGAGCGATGAGCTAACAACATGGCAGCATTACGATTGAGCCTTTTGCAATGGAAGCTGCGGGGTTATTGTCAAAATGCACGGTCGTCAGATATAGCATGACCAGACTGGCAACATGAATTGTAACGACATGGTGAGGCTCCAAATTTGTTCAACACATTATCAACTTGAATTTGAAAATACTCTTAAGGTAAGTGAGCAAACAGTAATAGGATAAAGAAGAAGACTTCAAAGTTTTAGGTTAATGACAATCCACTAATTCAGCTAACTAGGACTTAAAGTAACTGAATAACAGAGGCTAAAACTCATTGATTATCATCGGATTGATCAGCGAACAGGAATTAAAGGCAGTCTGAATGTGAGCTTAACTGATTAGGGTAAGATTTCGAAACACAATAAACGAGAAGTTCAGGAACAACAACAGTTTATTTCGCAACTAAATAAACTATTTATTTCATTTGTGTTTATTTATAAGAAAACTTTAAATGCTTAAAAGGTGCATTTAATTGTTTCACGTGTATAAAAGAACTACGTTTGAAAAAAAGCAAAGGCAATGCTTTGTTTTAACAAGTGTTTTTGATAATATACTGTTATTTGTCATGTTTTCTTTTTCAGCAAAGTTTGAACATCCTGGGAACCGTAATTATTACAAAACTTCAAGATGAGTTTGGATGGTTTGGTACATGTGGGTACATTAGTGGGCTTGGATTCCTAAGTAAGTGTTTTTTTTCAAGTGAGAGTCTTGCATATTTATTAAGTCTAAAAACATAGCTCATCTCCGAGATTTTAATTTAAATATGATATATTTCTGCTATTGGTTCGTAAAAAGCGTTGACGAGGCTGGAAAGATTAGTGTCGTTGTGCGTCTTCTCAAACGTCATGTTTTGGTTAGTCAAAAAAAAATCACGCAGTATTTTATTTGTGCACTATGTACTTCATGTTAATTATTACATGTGATGGCACAAGAATGTAGTACCGTTTCATTAGTGCAAACTATTGGCTGAAGTATTTCATTAGATAACTACGATATTTAACATCCGACTGGATTCTAATGTTATAGTCTGAGTAACTTTTTCGGATCCAATTACTAAGGTAACTGATTAAGAATTCAAAATCTAATGGGTATGGGGTTATTAAAAACTGACTAACATCTTCATATCTAATAATCAAGGATTAACGACAACTTGTTGGCAAATCGAAATACAGTGGTTATAGGATTATCGATTACTGATCGATACCTTCAAATCTAACAGCCAAGGGTTAACGATGACTGGTTAGCAATTCAAAATGCATTGATCATAGAATTACCGATAACTGGTTAGCCTTTCAAAATATGGTGATTATAGGATAACCCATAACTGGTTAGCATTTCAAAATCTGGTGATTACAGGATTACCGATAACTGGTTAGCATTTCAAAATCTGGTGATTATAGGATTACCGATAACTGGTTAGCATTTCAAAATCTGGTGATTATAGGATTACCGATAACTGATTAGCATTTCAAAATCTGGTGATTATAGGATTACCGATAACTGATTAGCATTTCAAAATCTGGTAATTATAGTATTACCGATAACTGATTAGCATTTCAAAATCTGGTGATTACAGGATTACCGATAACTGGTTAGCATTTCAAAATCTGGTGATTATAGGATTACCGATAACTGGTTAGCATTTCAAAATCTGGTGATTATACGATTACCGATAACTGATTAGCATTTCAAAATCTGGTGATTATAGGATTACCGATAACTGATTAGCATTTCAAAATCTGGTGATTACAGGATTACCGATAACTGATTAGCATTTCAAAATCTGGTGATTATAGGATTACCGATAAGTAGCTAACATTTTCAAGTACAGTAATTAAGATTAAAGAAAAACTGGAAGATTTAATGATCTGCAATTTCTAAAAAAAAAGTTCTTAAAATAAGTCTTACGTAATTCATTGTTATTATAAATATCAGTGACTAAAGTTTAGAAATATTTTTTTTTTTTCAAAATGATGGTGATATATAACAAATGTGATTTATTTTGGCAAATAGTTAAAGATTAAAATTAAAAAGACTTACTTTAGAATAAACGCCCGCTTTAATAGTTAATGAAAGAAAAAATAGCTGAAAATAAAAACTTGTCTGACGATGATAACATTACGTTTTTACTCTAAAAGACTCACAATCATGTACGTTTATGTAGGCTTTATACTGATGTTATTTTTCCCCCGGGATCCCGAAGTCAAAAGGAAGTTATTTCTGGAAGAAAAAAGGAAAAGGTAATAAAAATTTACATTTACATTTTGCGGTGAAAAAGCTCGGCATTTTAAAGTTTTTATTCCCTTTTTTTTTAGCTTTCCATGAAAAAAAAAACTTTTAAAGCCAATGTAATTTTTTCATTTTGAAAATTATGAAAAGCCAAAGTGATCAAACACTTAATGTTAGAAAGCAGCCATAAAAAGACATTTCAAACAACTCTACATTTGTTTTATTTTTGCACAAAAACCGAGGTTTGCACCAGAATTTGTTATTGTTTTATAATCCCAAGCTTATAATTTCCTAACTTTAGATGTATTTAAACGGTAATCACCAAGTATTTTCATTCTGCTTCCAGATTCGTTTTATTTTTAAGCTTATATAGCGAGGAACAGACAACTACATCAAACAATTCGTTTATAAGTGAAGTTTAAGGGTGTAGAAGTTTTATTTAAAACGTATCATCATCTTTTCAAACATCTATCACTTAAACATAGCTTTAAGCTGAAAACATAACATATTTTTCCTATTAAGCTTTAATCTGTCGATCCTGCAGGTTTTTTATCGTATTATTCTCTGGTGCGGGACAACGGTAAGTTTATGGACTTACAACGCTAAAATCCGGGTTCGATTCCCCCCCAGTAGACACGGCAGATAGTCCAATGTGGCTTTGCTCAAAAACGAGCAAAATGTTACCATATTTGGCTGTTAGGGCACTCTTACATTTCCCAATATATCCATTGAAATAAAAGAAATAATAAAATCTAAGTCGATGAGAAAAAATTGTAATATTTGAGCAAATACAATGAAGACACGAAAATGATGCTTAATCAGTTTTGAGCAAATTGTAATGATTGACAAAGCCTTATGCAAATTTACTAAATTATTTATTGAGAAATGTTGAATGGTTATACAAAGGTCAAAAAGTCACACAAATCTTATCTGTATATAAAATCGTCACATAAAGTTCACATATGTAGGGAAAATAATTATATAAAGCTTATCTATAGCACAGACACCTAGAGTAGATCGGTCATCTCATCTTTGAATAGCCCCGATAAAGGAACTATTCAACAGTATTTCTTTTGTGGAGTTTATTTTGTTACATAATGAAAGGCACATTTACTAATATATTCATCACACAGGTAAAACAAAAACATTTCGGGTCATTTTCTTCAATTTTAGAAAGTGATCTATTTTGTCCATCCATCTATCTCTCTAGACGCCGATTTACTTTGTCTATCCATCTATATCAGGCCCGGCATTGCCAGGTGGTTAGGGCGCTCGAGTCGCAATCTGAGGGTCGCGGGTTCGAATCCCAGTCACACCAAACATTCTCGCCCTTTCAACCGTGGGGGCATTATAATGTGACGATCAATCCAACTATTCGTTGGTAAAAAAGTAGCCCAAGAGTTGGCAGTAGGTGGTGATGACTAGATGCCTTCCCTCTAGTCTTACACTGCAAAATTAGGAACGGCTAGCGCAGATAGCCCTCGTGTACCTTTGCGCGAAATTCAAAAACAAACAAACCATCTATCTCTCTAGACGCAGATGAATTCTTGAAAATTCTAGCTCTATTAACTTAATAAATTCCTTTGAAAGTTTTAGAAAATTAAGAAAGGCATTTTCTGAAACTCTATTATTCAGATATTTTAGTTTTAATTGGATAAAAATACTAGTTCATGCTTGGAATCCAAAAGGAGCTTCCTTGAATCAAAATCATTCTGTGATACCAGAGTAATTAGAATCTTGTTTAATCACATCTTTATAATGATGTAACTAAACGTAGGTTGTTTTTTTACTTTAATATGACAAGCTTTGGGTGTCTACCCTTTATACAGATAAGCTTTGTGTGACAGTTTTCTCTGCAGATAAGTTTTATGTGACTATTTTCTATACAGGTAAGTTTGATGTGACTACTTTTTTTTACAGATAAACTTTGTATGACTATTTTCTCTGCAGATAAGCTTTATGTTACTATTATCTATACAGATAAGCTTCAAACTTGTAATCAACATTTCAGCTAAACGTTTGGAACTTCTAGATTACGTAACTAAATTTTCCTTTGTACTATTTTTCAACAAGTTCCCGAAAAAAACATTATTTTGTGTAAAATTATCAGGTTGATGTTTATATTGAAGCTATAACTCAACTGAGGTGCATTGTAAATAGATTACTAGCTTTATTAAAAATGGTGACTTTACAAGTAAGCGTACATGTAGTGAAGAGCTATTCGGAATCCATCTTTCTTCGTTTTCTTGTTTGTAATTAAGCACAAAGCTAAACAATGTGCTATCTGTGCTCCGCCCACCACGGGTATCGAAACCGGGATTCTAGCGTTGTAAGTCCGCAGACATACCGCTGTGCCACTTGGAGGCGATCAGAATTCACTAAATATTTATATATATAATAATTTCAAATTAGCCATTTAGTTTTTCTGGCATTATTTCAGAGTTATGCAAAGTTTAACAGTAACAAATAACATATACTATATCGAGATATTTAGTAACAAATGTATTTCATTGCGAAATATTATTATTTTTATTATTTGTTTCAGGCTGGAAAATCAGAGAGCTGAATGTTTGAGATATTCAGTGTTATTAAACTATAATTATGTAATAAATATTCATTCAGCAGTAAAATAGAAAAAATCAGCTATAATATTTTAGCTCATCTTTTGCTGTGCATGCAATAGAGTTCAAAATAGAGATAAAATATTCCACTTTTCTGTATTGACTTCTCAAATTGAGGAGCTTCACCACGTGCGCTTCCCTCGAAGATGACCTTACGAAATATTTAATTGTGTGAAGTCCTCACCCCAGGAGACAGACTTTCATTATGTAATTTTTTTATCATAGGTATAGAAACAGTAATACAACAGATTTATAAATGACAAAATGTGAAAGTTTACTGCGTATATGCAAAGATAAGTAATTGAAAAAAAAGAGGATAAATTTATTTAATACCTTGCTGCAATGTTTCATAGCAGAAATACAGTGACTTAAAAACAGTTGAAATAGCTTACAACGTGCCAAGTTACACTCAATAGGAAATCACAAATTTTCTTTCGACATTTTGCTTGAATCACAAATAATAATTATTATTATCAGATCAGAGTTTCACTCCTACAGCATATAAACGAAGAAAGACCATTTGATCGAAACACACACAATTCTGAATAAGTAATCTAAAACACATGTAATTCAATGAAGGGACAGATAAACCAGAGACAATCACTATACTTTAATGATACGAAAAGGTAACTCTCACAATACGTGATTGTATCATGTTTTTAGAAACCTTGATAATTTGAAAACCAGGAATTAGACCCATACGAGATTAATAATAAACTTGAGACAATTTTTTGCGCATGCGCAGTACAGTACATTTTAGCAGCAAAATACCTATCGAATATTTTGTAAAACAAACCATTTCAGGAGATTGGGAAACAGATACAATTATCAACTTGTATTCCGAATTTCTTTAGTTATTTCACCAAAAGTTTTTTTTTCATTCGCGTACAAACATGTATCTTAAAAAGTCAGATCATTGTTTTCTTCAAATTAGGATGCATTTATTTTTCAAATTTATGAATAGAAAACAATGATGGCATGTAATGTAACAAATATGAGCAAACAACTGACTTTTGTGTGTTTTATAAATAATGACACTCCAGTTTCTCCAAAGCTCGTTTAATCAGTATTATTGACTGTGTTCTGTCAGTCTTTATACTTATGGAAATTATTGTACATATGTATATGAATGTAGGGTCAATACACATTTCCAAAGCTAGCCTGACCTCATGAAATACTATTTGGTTTGCGGTTGAAAGTATTGTTAATAGCGAGAGTAACCAACTGATGGATCAAAGTATTTTAGTCATTATAGGTTTTAGATTTCCTGAAACAGATTTATTACATTTTTTTTACTTCTAGTCATTTGTTTTAAATAATTAACTTTATTGAATTACACTTCAATTTTAAGTTCTACTGCTAGTCAGGACCATGCTTAAGGGGGTCGGGGAGGAAACTGGGCTATGGCCCCGCGCCACAGAGCCCCGGAGGTCTAATGAAAAAACATCTTATAATAGAAAAGAAAAAGAAATTTTATTTATTTAGAATAAAGTAGGATAATTTAACATATATGGTAAATAAAAACTACTGATTAATCATTCACATCGATATATATATATGGTAAATAAAACTGCTGGTTAAAAATTCACAACGATATACATATATATATGGTAAATAAAAACTCGCGATTAAATATTCACATCGATATATATATATATCTATTTTACAACGATATTTACAACGATATTAAACATTTACAACGATATATATATGGTAATTATATCTTGTGATTAAACATTTACAACGATATATATATGGTAATTATATCTTGTGATTAAACATTTAGAACGATATATATATGTAGTATATATGTAATTATTAATTAATACTTTTGATTAAACATTTAGAACGATATATATATATATAGATGGTAAATAAAATCCTCTTATTAAAAATTCACAACGATATATATATATAT